GTCTCGGCTTGGCCGAGACACCGTAGGTGCCTCAGTTCAGCTTTGAGACGTTTTTAATGCCCGTTTGACTGTTTTCGCTGTAACTTCTTTGTCTGAACTCGGATCTGAGTGATTCCAAATGCGTTGGAAGTCTGACGAAGAATTCTATCAGTTCCAATGGTTAGATTATCTGTAGAATGAACGAGACACGAAGGGCGTTGTTCCTTTTGTAAACATCACGGGGTTCTCGATTAGCCCGTGTCTTCGTTATTCCGAAATCCTATCAGCTCACGTAGTTCGTCGGTTCACTTTAAGCGTTCACCGACATCAGTCGAACTCCTGTGAACCAGATAGTGATGTTCATTGTCGTTCTTTAACACTGAGCTGTTCGTGGAGACCCATAGGCAATTTTCGATGCCTACAGACTACCTCTCGCACTGAGTGGAATCGTCTAGACAGGAGATAACGACGTAAGCTAAGGCGAAGTCCCATCAAGAACATCTGAGTCTGACGCTCCCCTGTATGCTACATGCCCGTAAACCTAAGTAGACCCATGAACTTTCTTTCATAATCAGCTACAGACATGTCTCCCTGCTCCAACCGGGCTAGTTCTAACTCTTTCGCGGCCTTTTACCACTGATGATACATACTGCTCATCGAAGAAGTAGATGAAATCCTCCCAAGTAAGTATCATTCGTTACTCCGGTGTGAATTTGAGCTTATACCACCCTCCGGCGTTGCCTTTAAAACCGAATGCAGCAATCCTTTGCTTCTGTACCGAGTCGACGTTAAGCATATCTAGGATGTTCCCCACATCTTCCTTCCACTTGTGGGCTGCAAATGAATCCGATGTGCCCTAAAATTCTGGTGCCCTCAGCTTCTGATATCTCTCTACTAGACGAAGCCAAGCCTCGTGCTCTATGGCTCTATCAACAACTGGTTGTAGTGTAACTGCTGGTGATTCCTCTGCAATAGGCACATGTGTTGCTGATTGCAGCACCACTGGAGGTGGTGTTGTTGGCGGAACCTGATTCGCCACTTGCTCCTCGAGTGCTGCCAGCCTACCTGCAATCGGTGCTATGAGGTCGATCAAATATTATGGAGACTGCTACGGCTTGGGCTCTGGCTCAGCTTGTCCAACTCCCTGAGTACGGAATCTACCATGCCACGTCTTCATCCCGACATCTATAAGTTCAGGAGGAGAGCTTATTAGACACAGTAAATGAGACCATAAACATATATAGCATATCATATAGCAATAAGAAAACATAACACATAGTATCCTCAAAAATACTTTATAATCAAAGTAAGGTGAGCATAAAAAAATTGTCGAAAATTTTGAGCTATATGTATAACAACCTCACTCATTCTAGAAATTTCTAGCGAACTCTATACATGAACCCTAAGGAAACTCTACCCTAGCTCCACGACTCGACACAGGATACCCTAAGGATGCTAGAACCTGGCTCTGATACCAACTGTGACGTTCCTGATTTCACACAAGGCTGCAGTTCAAGGTGAACCCAAAGATGTCAAACCTGCCATGCACCCAACACTATGTAATAAAATATTTTACCATCACAATAATATCTCTCTAGTGGAATCAAATATAAGAAATGTTGAATATCATGTCTCCATGATATTATTTTGATGATAACAATTTATACAATGTGTGTTATACAAATGCACTAACTTCTATATGCAGATTTCAATATCAAAATATGAACAAGTGCAAGTTGAGTTCAAGGCATTATGAAGTGAAGAAGATGAAGAACATATGAGATAATTTATTTTACATTTTCTTTACTTAGAATTATTGTACAAGCCTTGATCACTCTCACACACACACACACACACACATAAATATTAGAACACACTAACACAGGCTTAGTGTGTTGGTTAACTATAGAAATCCCCTATGTTAACCATTAGAGTTATAGTTAATTATTGAGTATCAAAACATTTAATTCACATTTTTTTACTCTTAGTAGTCGACTAATTAGAATAGTAGTCGACTACTCATGTATATGACTTAAATATAAGTTTCTGTTAATTTACAGTATAGTCGACTAATTTGTATAATAGTCGACTACTCAAGTTTATGACAGAAATATAAGTTTCTGTTATTTTACAGTGTAGTCGACTAATTTCACCTATAGTCGACTACTCTGAGTTAAAATCTGAAAATCAACTTTCTGTCGATTACAGTGTAGTCGACTACTTTCCTTACTAGTCGACTACTAATACAGATTTCACAGTTTTACAGTTTTATAGCTTATTGGATTTATTTTAAATCAAACCCAAAACCTAAAACCCTATACCCGTTTCACTTAAGTAGAGTTCATCTCAACCATATATTTTCAACTCTATCAATCCTAGCCACATATTTAAGATAAAATCTTAACCTTTCATTCTTTTTACAATTAAATCTGAACCATACAATATAATTTTTTTTAGAAAAATGATAAAAACCTAAAACTACCCACTCTCTTCTCTTAAAAACCGATACTTCTTCTTCCCCTCTTCGGAACCCATTGAATCTAAGTTAGGGCATCATCTTTCTCTCATTTTTCTTCTCAAAATCTTCATCAATTTTAGTGTTTTCTGAAGTCTGACAGGTTCTATAGTCGACTACACCCAGTCATAGTGTAGTCGACTAATCTAAGGTTTCATCAGTTTGTGGTAATTTCTCAACTTAATCTTCGTATCTTTTGATATTTTTCTGTTTCATCATGTCTAGAGCTAAGAAAGCTAAGCAAGTTCATACTAATGTTAACGATGAAATCATCATATACTTAAAAAGTCCTGATTTACTTGAAGAATTTAACAAAATATCCACTTTTGAAGTTCTTCTAGGACGATTTGTGAAATTTAATGATTTTATTGTTCGCGGGGAAAGTTGGTGTTTTCTTCATTATCGATTCCATTGCACTCAGTTAACAACTTTAT